TGCCTTGAAGATTTTATTGTTTAGGGTTAACTTAAGAGACATGCAGGGCTCACTGTCTTGTACTGTACAAAACTATCATGTACACTGTTGTGTGGTTTTATTTTACTGTAGATATACAAAGGTTGATATACCAAGGTTGAAAGGTCAAACAAATCCATCCATTTTGTGGCCTTTTCTCTACCCAGCATCCTCTGGGGGCAAAATGCTCAACCAATTAACAGCATTGGACATAAATTACAGACAGAACCCCAAAGATAAATTAAAATGTCCTCTTGACAGACGAACCGTCTCCAGTATCAATCATGTGGCGCCTAGAACTGGTCAAGAGTATAAATCACACCGATCTCCTGACGGGGAAGGTGGACTACAGCAGAACAGCTTCTGATTCATAACAAAATGTAATTTTTCCATATGACAATGAGTCAACACTTCGCTCTGGATGTCAAAACGTTGTGTGCTTTTATTAAGTCTGTGCTTAACAGGTTAAAAGGATTGCCTTCTACATTATCTCAAACATGCATTGTTTTAAGTTGATTGTCTAATTCAATAAATCACTATCATCACAGGCTGAATAGAAACCTTTATCTTATGGCGCCTTTCACATCATGATCATGCTGTCACGCCATCATTGCACATCCTAGAACCTGATGCCCAATGGCTACGAGGGTGATTCACCTCTGTAAAATTTTAACATCACACCTTTAGAAGGTCCCCAAATGTTTTTGTTTTCATGTTTTATTTTTAGTTTCAGTAAAACCAAATTAAAACTCTTCTGTTTTGTGCTGCACAAATCAAGTTTTTTTTTTTATTTTGTCTCACAGCTTGAAAACCAGACTTTAACCAGTGCTATACTACGATAAAGTTAACCAAAATATAATTTAAAAAAAAATTTTTATTTACTTTTTTCTTCAGCTCCACACTAATGGCGTTTGCCTCCTTCAGGTAGACAGCGTTTCCCCACAGCTGGTCACGCAGGGAGGTGAACTGATGGTACCTCCACTTCCTGAAGGCCCACTGAGCCAGCTCAAACTCATGCTGAGTCCACGGGACTGCAGGGAGACGGGAAACAGAGGTGATGTTAACATTCATATACACCAACACGCGCACACAATGTGACACACATAAAACCAAAAAGGACCATACCAGTGTTTTTACTTGTCTTAGCCCAACCACAAATCCAGAGTACTTTCCTTCACTGTCTGCAATTCTAGGTAACCCATCATGTGGAATATGTTGTCAGGTTTATTTCAAGTCAATATCAGAATTTACAGTCAGCTGCTGGAAAGCATTAAATCCACAAGCAGACCCAGAAGAAAACAGGGAGAGAATGTGGACATGTGAGCGATTTCTTGTATAAAGCCACAGTTTGTCATCAAAATACAAAGAAACATTTAGCAAAGTGAATCATTCTGATGCTGTTAAAGCTTTGGTGAAATAATAAGGGTTTGTAACCACAGGATTATCACTGTATTATCAATCAAGTCAGACAGACAAAGCTGATTTGTCCTTCTTCAGTCAAAATGTGTCACTCGAGGGAACAAAATGTTTACAGTGGTGGATTATCAACCCCTGTGGGTTCACGTACAGTTCACACTGGACTGAAAAGAATGGAAACTAGCAGCTGAATGGAAATTAGGGAAATATATTTATACTGAAGGAAAGCTTGCTTTGGAAAATTGCTTCCAGTGATTTATAGGACATTTGTAGTTGATGGGCTAAAACATATAAAGACATATTTAGACTTCCCGTGAAATGTTGTTTATTAGTAGTATGCTTTACTTTAAAGGAATTAGAGAACATACTGCTTATGGACTATTTTGAAGTTATACCTTGAATGAGTAATTAGTATGCCAATATCAAAACATTTTAAGTAATCAGAATGAAGTTGATTTTAAGTTCTTTTGATTATGAAACAGAAAATACTATACGCACATCCTAGTAGATTGGGCTCTGGACAGAAAATGCAGAAGAAAAGTGCATTTTTAATTTTTTCATTGGGGGTGGGGGCTTAAATACATTAAGTACATCTGCAGAACTGAAGATTTACAGTACACACCTTCCTCTTCCTCCTCTTCCTCCAACTCTTCTTCATCAGGTGTCTCGGCTACCAGAGAAATAGTCTCTACCTGTTTCTGAAGTTCCTGCAATTTGCTCTCGTACACCTGGACGCCAACACACAGGGAAGAGGAAAAAGAACATGGACAACTGTCCATCAGCCACAGCTGAGCTCAGCTAGCCCTCTACACCACATTTTAACCCAAAATACACAGTATTATGTTTGGGATTACTACCCATTCTCCCCTTTGAAATTCCATTAACACCCTTAGAGTTTTATTTCTACATTAAAGACTGAAGCCTTTGGTTCCTGGTTGCATGCATGATGATTCATGCAGCTGGGTGTGACATGAAATTGGGTTTACAAAAACAAAATGTGTAATGAGATGTACACATGCATTTTGGACAGTTTTCTCATAAAGTACATTTCCAGACATGTAAAAAAAACACTACATATTAGTGTGAGTTTTTATATATTGTATGCACCGTATGCAAAACAAAAGCGGTAAAGGATACGGATAATTTAAAAAATAAGTGAGCATAAAATAATATAAGACATAACTCCAAACTAAAAAGCAGATTTTGATGAGTTTGGTTAAAAAAAAATAAAATAAAATAAAAAAAAAAGCAAAAGAGAACAATGAATTCTAAAACTTTCTACTGTCTATTGATTATAATTAAATGGGTAGCTCAATTTTTAACAGAATGAAATGAATTTAAAACCTAAAATAAAAATGTGTGTACGTTCTGAAAATTAAACTTCATCTTATATTGTGAGAGAGACGGCTACAGTGGAAGGAGAGAGGTGCTGGTGGAGGCTGAGTCAACTGTAATCCAATGAGGGGCGCCATCATCATCAGAGCAGGACATTCTTTGATCCCGATGACCTCATCCTGTTTGTTCAGTGTCTTCTGGGAAGACAATGCAGCCTTTTCATTTTCGTTGTTAACCTCCTCCCTGCTGAAACCTTACCAACAAGCTAAAAGCTGAATTCTCTCGTTTCAAACAACCTTTGGAATTTTTACTGAATGTAGTCATCTGCATGAAGCGGCTACGGTAACACAATGTGTACCATAATGTATCACGTGAATATAATATTTTTAGCAGTTCTAAAAACATGAATATTTGAATTTTCAAATAAGTTTAAAGATAGCAAGGGCTAAATTCAATGCCCAAAGCCATGCTAAAGGAATTAGCTAAATGCCAACAAATCCAGCTTTACGTATCTGTGGCACATTATCATGCCCTACCTGATTACAGTAATAAGAATGGCTAAGAATGAGACTTTGCAACTTGTAAGGAAAAAACAATCATAGGTAATATTTTCAAATTTAATGTTTTAGAAACAATGATTAAAACTGTATTCATTTTAAGAACTTATAGTACCTTTAACCTGACCTGAGGTGTTGTACAGCGTCTCAAAACGGTCACTCCTGTGAAATCGGATTCTGTCCCTAAACTGCTTTAGCAGTGAAAAACAAATACCAATCATATATAACAAATAACTGCACTTGGAGCATGTCATTTTATTTCAGTCATACTTTGAAAATAAACTTCCAGCAACACAGGGATTCAGTATATCCTCTTTTAACCCTGTGAAAACAAGTGTTCACATATCCACTAACCGTTTACACAAAGTGCAAGATTAAGGAGCAACACAACTTGGTACACAGCCACAATGAGGCACTTGATATTGCAGATTCAAAAAGTAGACATACAACACTCGACAGACACTTTGAGTTGAGACCTAACAATGACATATATGTAGATTTCAAATGAACAGTACATTGTCCATTGAATACTTTCCAGCTTACCTGGTTGCCATCTCATCAGCACCAGTGAATATGTTAAATTACATTCTTTAATGGAGTATTTATTAGGGATGAGGAAATGTAAGGTAAATGTCATGCAAAGATAAGCAAAGATATCAGACGTAGGGTGGAGAGACTAGACTTGCATATGTCATTATATATCTTTTGGTTTTTGTTACAGCATAGTAAGGCAGAATATATACTGTCAAAACTAGTACACAATCATTTCATCATTCTGAACCCGAGTTTAGCATTCTGATAAGTCCTCAAAGGTCTCTCCCACTCCCTGCTGAGTGTCACAGTTTCTCTAAAATGATTCTAAGGCCATCTGGTATTGAAATGTAATAATTAATGGGTTATTTTAAAGCTACGGCTACAGCAAAGAAAAGACAGATTCAAAGGGAAACTTGCAACTAATTCAAATAAGAAGCAGGTAAAGCACAGAGGCAAAAAACTGACACGGACAACTGACTTCATAGACTGCCACTCTGGTAGATCTATGCAGAGTGTATGAATATGTGGCATTTGATGCAGCAAAAACAAGGCAGTCCTAAAATCTCATTTGACATGGTTGGTTCTCCCAAATAACATCATGCAAACACTTCAAGTCCTTTGTCCTCCTGCCAACATTTTTTAAGGAGAGTCTCTGGGAACCATGACAACACTCTGTAGGACATCCAATTGAGACACGGTGAACTCTGTGCTTACTCAGTGAACCACAAACCCAAAATTTAATTTTAAAACCGCATGAAACGAAAATCAGAGCTCAGTTCATGATGTGTGTTTTATATAGGAAGAGAAGGAACATTGTTTTGAACTGTCAGATAGATACAATTTAGTGCAACTTTTCTGACAGTTAGGCCCATCTCCTGGCATTTCCGCATAGTGATTTTTACATTTGATAGGGTCTTTAGTAAACTCCAGGATTCAGAGAGAACATAGCATATATATATATATATATGAATATGTGAGAGAGAGAGAGAGAGAGAGAGAGAGAGAGAGAGAGAGAGAGAGAGAGAGAGAGAGAGAGAGAGAGAGAGAGAGAGAGAGAGAGAGAGAGAGAGAGAGAGAGAGAGAGAGAGAGAGAGAGAGAGAGAGAGAGAGAGAGAGAGAGAGAGAGAGAGAGAGAGAGAGAGAGAGAGAGAGAGAGAGAGAGAGATAACATATGGGTATATTCTTGAAGGGATTCAAAAATAAAGAGTATACAGTAGCATACAGGTTTCAGTAATTATAGAGCTTACCCATGACTTGAGGAAGTGCAACATACTGAGCAATTAAGTGGCTTACTTTGAATAAATCAGTGTGTTGTTACTAAAAGGTTAGTTTGGTTAGGCAGGTTTTGAATTTTCCTTTGCAAATGTTAGCTGAACCCTTGTGTATGAGCACTGAATTAAAAAGGAGGAGGAAAAAATATTGAATTTTAACTGCAGAGCAGGATTAATATTGTTAGTGCATAAAAAGGCACTTCAAAATACCACTTTCTTTGACCACCATTTCAGTCTGTTTAAAAAGATAGAAGAAAAAACAATTGACTAGTGCATCCAATTATTCCATAATCAACTTTAAAATGTCCAACATACTGGTCTTCTGATTTTAGTTCTAGGCTAATGATGATTTATGATGCATGCAAGGAGAACCGATTCTTCCATCCTAACATTCAGTTACATGGTACGTTGAAATAAATAAATATTGGGTGTTTTTCTGTTCCTAATGTGGGCTATACTGACAACAGAAGTCTTAATGAAAACGTGACACTTCAATGTGTTTATACTGTAGTGGCAAAAAACATTCACAATAAATCAATACTTAAAATGGCAAAGATGTAAACTCAGAAATTCAACCATGAAGATCATTTTGGCAAAGCATGATTAATGAATTGTCACACATGCTGAAAAATGAACAGAGTAGGCATGGCATGTCTCTTCTGGGAAAAAAAAAGCAGTCCCTTTATCATCTGTTTGCTTCAATTCCTTGTGATAGCTCTCCCAATGCAAGTGATGACACACAACGCAGCAAAAACTGATAAAACGGCAAATATTGTGATGATGATAAATGTCTTTTTTTTTTTTTTATAATACATACAATACTTTTGGGTCAACCAATAACACACTGATCAAGTGCAAAAGTCAGTCAGTTTTAGCTGTTTGACTCACATGATTCTGAGCTGTTGTGATCTGTAATGTCTTTGCCTACTAAAAGTACATTATACTAGTTCCTCATTCCATGAGTCTCACTCAGACTGTCGTCTCTCTGCTGGCTTTTAGATTAGGAGCAGACATTTGCCTGCGCATTCGTGGAGGTGCCTGAAAGTTGATTGGAGGGTTAGCATGGTCAGTGTGATGGTACTGCTGGTAGCCATTGAATCTGCCATCTGTGTACATCATGCTAGTGTAGTGGCATGGCTGTTGTTGTTGGTGGGGCTGGGGATGTGCTGGCTGGTTCTGATGGTGGCGGGGCTGGTAGAAAACCTGCGTATGCTTCCGGTTGCTTTCGGACTGCTGCAGTGACTCCATGGAACCAGAGGGCCGCTGGCGGTGATTAAAAGAGTTGCTGCGGCCTCGTTCATGGGGCTGCTGATGTTGGTTGTTCCTATAGTTATGTCTGTGGCCCTGGCTTAAACCTTGCTCCAAGTCTTTGCTCCTGTGCGGAACTGATGGGCTTGGCAATGGAGGAGTGACTTGGATAACTGAAGCAGCCATCTGTTCTCTAGACTGTACTCCTTCTTTAGCCAGGCTTTCTCCCTCTTCTTCCTCTACGGCTTCTTTGGGCACTTTTAGCTCAATGACCTGCTCATCTGTTATTATGATATGAGTACCGGGGCTCCACGAGTTGCGGTGCTTAGGGTTACTTTTGAAGGGGAAGCGTAGCTTGCGGTCTTCTGGGGGTATAAAGCGATGTGGTCCGGCATGCCGGCGGAGCTGCTTGGAGATCTCTTGTTGCTGAAGGTTCTTGAGACGTAACTGCTCTTGACGTATCCAACGCATGTGGCCTCCACGCTTTAGGGTTGAGTCGTCTCCTGTACCTTGGCCTGTTTGTGAATCTCCATCCTCTACATCAGGCTTTATAGGAACAGGAGGTTTTCCGTCTTGAGGGCTTGGAGTTATGGCAGCTTTAGTAGCAGTGCCTATGCTGGGAGACTTTTCTTGGCCCTCTGGGGTGATGAGTGGAAGGACCTTTTCCATTTTGACCATCTTGTTCCTGAGAGCCCGGATCTCCTCATCCTTCATGTTATTCTGTTTTTTTACCTCATGCAAGATGTCCTCAAGTTTATCAATGTGCACCTTAAGGTCATCCATAACAACCCCTCCTGGTCGAGACCCATTAGTAATGACATCCTCAATGCGCTCATCACCAACCCCTACAGTGTCCCAAACATCTCGTGCCACCGCCCTCCACGAGTCCCGCTCGTTCGGGTCCTTCTTGCTGTAGCTCGCACAAAGCTCCTTCATCTTTACAATGGCCAGTGCCTCAATTTCCTGTCGTGTGTGGCGGAAGTCATTGAGCGCTACTTCATAACAAATTTCTTTGACTGCCTGGATCTTCAAGTCAGAGATGGTCACCCACTTGGAGTCCTTGGTGATGCGGCGCCGCTGAGGGATCTGGTACATTTTAACTGGCTCTCTTCTCTTCCCACTGCTGGGTAATCCACACTTTTTCACTATGGTCTGTAGCTTGCTGGGGGGCAACTTTTCCCTCAAGGAAGTGATCAGTCTCCAGCTCTCTTCACAAGACCTCTTATCTGAGTCATCCCCACTATCAGAGTCTCCATCCTTGAGAAAACAACACAGGAAACAAACCAAATGGTTCCCCCCCAAAAAAGGAGAAATTAAAATGGGAAATCAAAGAAAGGATGAAAGGATGGCTTTTAAAATAAGAATGAATAAGGTATAAATATGCAACATGGGAACTTCAACCATGAGTATAGTCCAAGTTAAATCAGAATGTAATACTTCAGCTTAGAAGAATTTTGCAGTTCAGAATACGGAGATTTAGGATATTTCCCAAAGATAACAATTACACTGCAGTAATGTTTTCTAAATATTTTGCATACATCATTACTGTACAAGATGTATGGCAACATGCAGATTCCAGAAATATGCACATTCTCAGAATCATGTTCAAAACAAAGATAGAAAAACAAATTAAAATCCGACAAACAGTGGCTTCTATTGACTTTCTTGTCAGTTTGTCGTTCTCATGTTTTCTCGAGTGAAATGGTGATATGGATATGAATAAATGTATATTAATTAAAACATCCACTTGTAAAAAAAACAAGGCTTTTCACATCTCAGACATGGGGATATCAGCTTGGACAATATTGTTCCCAATGTTGCATATTGATATTAAAAGTAAAGGTAAAGCATGTCTATCATGATTAGAAAAGAAATATCAATAGAGGTGATTGGATTGCTGATTGGAGCACTTCTGTACTGTTTTGTGATTTTCCTCTTCTCAATTGAAAATTTGGTGATTTGAAAGCTGGATCCCAAACATGCTACAGTGGCATGCATGTAGATGGATTTTTGGAGCTTTCCCCTTTAGTCCAGAAGCTTTGAGTGGCTTTAGGGTTAGCGGTGAGTTAGAAGACAAGAGTGTTCTTGCAGTTGATCAGAAAGCCAGTAGAGAGAGGAGAGGCAGAAGTGAGGGGAAGTGTTAATCCACTACAAGAAAGATGTTAGTTGGAAAAAAAAAAATGCAGTTTCTCATTTTTTTGGTAGACAAAGTACATTACAGATCACAACCATTTGGGACAGATGATTCAGGTCTTGTGTATGATACTGCATCTGTGGCTAGAATTGGACACGTTATGTCGCTGGGAGTCTGAACCCTATGCTTGTAGCTCTGCACATAAAAAAACACCGGAGTATAGAAGAGGTCTGTGATTCATTGATTCATCTTTAAGCAGTGATAACTGTTGTTGAACGGTGCCCTCAGTGTGCTACACAGATGCCAGGTAAGGCTAGCAAAGAGAGGTAGCCAAAGAAGTCAATGAGAAACCACATTGTCACTATCTGTCAAAAAACTACAGCAGGATTTTTTTTTTGTTATCACAATGCATTGTACGTGTCAGCAACTGCATTGAAGAGATGAAACTCAGGACAAAACAGAGCAAGAAAACTAGAGAAGAAATCTAATCCAAGCAAATCAACAGCCACTTCAAAGTTGACCAGCTCAACAGCAAACACTGCAACTTAAGTCAAGAACCAGTACGGAATGAGTTAAGAAAACATGCTATTAACATGAACCATGCAAAAGCAGCGTCACATTATAACAACAAGGCAATGTGTTCCAATAAGGACTAATATTATACTATATATTATAATATCAGTTTTAAATGAGTTTGATCTTAATTATCAAATCAACTTTAGATGTAAGTTGCTGTTTTGCAAGATTCAGATCCACTATAGAAGACACAAGAAAAGTGAAAACAGGAATTTCAAAAAGGGGAAAGCTTTATAATCTAATTCTCACTCAAACTGCTAGAGAAAATCAGTTAAACTCAAGAGGAAGGCAAGAAAAAGCTCATCTGTCTCAAACCAGAAAAACCTTCCATGCAAGAAGAGCAGCCATGCGCTAAGAGTAAAAGTGTGATTCTCACACACACACACACACACACACACACACACACACACACACACACACAATCTCAAAAGTGTAAGAGCTCAGAGTGAGAATTAGTACTAATCAGATTTAAATGAACCAAGTAAAATCCAAAAAAACCCCCAAAAACTAGCGTTCCAATTGTAATTGACCATAGAAAAAAAGCATGCTTTAACTTATGACAGATATCCTGAAGTGCATTTCACTCAGTCACGTACAAAATATCACAAACTGATATAGCTGATATAAGAAGCTTTACTTGTAACTAACTTCCAATAAGCAGACATAAATTATGGCTTAATATCTATTAAACCCACTCTGAAGTTACTATTAACTTGACTACAAACTCCTAACATGATGATTACAGAAAACAACCTGAAACCATAAAATTCACAAAGTGGGTTTGATTCAGTTCCAGCTTATTTGAACTCACCAGTCGCTGTTGCTCCAGAAGTTGGTCTGCTTCTTCCTTCTCCTTTTTGTACAAGATTTCCATCTCAGTGAGTCTACATAAATAGGTAAAATATATTGTGAGATACACCACATCCAAGATATACTGCACAATCCATGGTTGACACCTAACATTAGAAATTCATTTAAATGCAAGGTGGGCTGCGTACCTTTTCTCCATCTCCTGCTTCATGTCGATGCCCTGCTTCTCTAGAAGCTCCCTCTGAGCAAAGGTCCAATCCACCGGCTCCACGGGGGTTTCAGCAGATGGCGTCTTCTCCCTTTCAGCTCTGGCCTGTTCTGGGTGGTTGAACCGGAACACATGGTTCTTTCCCATAATGATACGGTTACCTGAAAGAAGGTGGGGCAGACATGTGGCAGAAATAAGCATGGAGAGCATGAAATTAGTAAAGACATTGCTCCTTCAGTGCAAACAGTATAAATGTAGGACCATAAACTTTAGTTTTCACCATGTTTTTTTTTAGAACATCACAAGGGCTGTGATGACTATGATTTATGAAAGAAAGGAAAACCCCATTATATGAATTAAATTATCTGTACTTATCAGAAAATCAGTCAACTCATCTCGGCCTACAGAGATCATACAACTGTGACATTTACAAATGATGTACGACTTTATTACAAAAACTTAGATCCATACCCGAACGAAGCTGGATTGCATCCTCAACACGCTTGCCATTGACGTAGGTTTCCGATCTCTCGCAGGGCACCAGCATGACGATAACTTCAGTAAAAACACACCAACCAATCATCAGTTCTGAATAGCTCTTCATTGTTCACTTTTAAATGGTAAAAGGAAAAATATATCCAGTGTAACGTCATCTACTGACAAAGTGCCTAGTTTGTTTTGCAGGTAATTCAGGGTTGCAGTTATCTGTAACACAGACCATTTCTCCTTCTTACCATTAGCTCTGCTTGATTCAAAGTAATCAAGATATTCATTATACATACATACATACATCGGCCAAAGCAAGCACAGGCAAGCAAGCTCATAATATGGGGCCTCACCATCTCCATTGGCATTCCTCTCGCTGCGGAAGATACAGTGCTCTTCCCTGATATGAGCACCGCTTAAAACAATGTCCTGTCGTCTCTCAGCATCAGCCTGACCCACCCTGAAAAAATTATAGAGGCCATTTTGAGAGTGTGAACACTGCCCTCTCATTGTATTGGCAGCCATTTCGGCAAAAAAGTCAGTGGCAGAAGTTAAATAGAAACTTTAGACCATTACTTTTAGAAGGCAGCACTTCTAAAGCACTATAGCTTCTTTTGTCTGTGATCCTGTCATCTATTATTGTCACTCCGGGGCAGAACTGAAACAACATACTCTACTGGAATAGTCTATTGAGGGGGCCAGAAGGACAAAGAAGGGAGGAAAGTAACTTCAGAAGGTGAAACTTTTTGAGATCAGTGCCAGATTATAAGGCAGCCTTCTCTGACCCTGAAAGTTACTCTTGCTTAAACATCAAAAGAGGAGAAGTGAAATACAGAGATCCTGCCTGGGAGAAATTCCAAACTTTTTGCACGCTCTGCAGCATTTCAGTATCATCATTCAGGTTTTGGTTACCTTGTAATTCCGTCTTTGATGTAGTAGAGTAGACACTCTGACATGAGAGGATCCTCATTCAGGTTAACCAGGTGTGGAGTCTACAGATGAAATGTAAGAGGTAGACAGTTTACAAAAAAAACTATGTCTAGGATTTCACTACTTTTATCAATATACCACAGTGCTGAAAGCACACCAGTACTAGAAATGTTAATGAAGTGGGCATAGTTTCATATCAAACACTGCTGATGCTGTCCATTATATTCAGTGCATGAACTGTAGTCACAGTCTCATAAGTCACAGTACCACTACAAACAATGCTAGCAGCTACTCCGCCGAACCACCAACCTTTTTGGGGGAAAACACCCCATTAAAGTCTGCATAAAGATCACAAGGCTAACCCATGGAGCAGCAGTGAGTGAAAGGAGAGAAAACAATGAATGGAAGACAAATGGATGTGAACAAAAGGAAAGAAAAAACTGAAACACATCAATTAGCAGCAACAGAGGAGGGGGATCAAAACATGTCTAAAGAAAGATTCATTTCAAAGAGGGGAACTTTCTGAAACCACTGCTAATCTAACAACAGCTGGCGCTGAAGAGACAGTGATTAAATGATAACCAATCTCTTTCTCTGACTCTTCTGACAAGCGTATACTAACACATCTACTGGTCTTTATGTTACTGGCATGGCACTTCCTCGACTGGCAGATGCTGGAGAGTGAGGGGAATGTACTACTGCCTGTAATTTAATAAACCTCATGACCAAGTATTATATAAAAACTAAGGGGTTCAAGTGGACTAAGTAAAATTTTACTTAAGAGTAAATTTAAAATTACTATTAAAAGATGATACTAAACAGTTATGGGGCTACATCTACTGCAGGAAATGTGCTTTGTCTGCAGTTTCAATTTAACAAACCTTCTTGGGGGGAAAACAATCAAGCTGTTCATCAAATGTCATGTCATGGCTAAGCTGATGATGTGAAGGAAGCACATAAAGAGTGGAAAAACAGACAGAATGATAAAGTGAATCAATGAGGAAAAAACAATAACGGTACAGGGAGGGTTCTCATGGAAAAACATAACATGGGAAACAGAAGTGAGAAACGTGACGGTGGAAGATTGTGCACCACCACCCATGGGAAACTTGACACAGTCACAAGTCATCAACGTCTGTGCTTTTGTCTCATGTCTGTTCTACCTTTTTAGGCGAGAAAACCCCCAAAGTGCCTCCATCTTCACGGATTGCCACACCCATCTCTGCAAGCAAGGCCTCCCTGTAGTGAAGGAAAAACATTTAGATAGTTGGACATTGTTAGTGCACGCACACAGTGTGTTGCACATATTCACTTGCAAAGACTTGCAAGCACAGAAACATATTTTAACTTCGTACATTCATTTTCAGCAAAGAGCCTTTGTGTTAATGAGAGAAAGGGGATGAGAAGTGATGAGTGCAACATTACAGCACTTGATTTGTGGCATGACAACAGGCAGCGAATGGCACCAGTGAGACTCAGACAAGGCAGTAGCATGGTTGACGTCTGTAGCCACAGATGAGTGGATAGAGTGGATAAAGGGGGAGAAAGGGTGTGAGAGGGGTGTCTGTGCAGCAGACTGTGACGAAAGAGGAGGGAAGGGGAAACGGACAGAATGAGAGCAGAGGAAATGAGACAGATAGGTGAAGAAAGTGAGACAGACAGCACAGAGGGGTAAAAAGAGAAGAGACAGAGCTATGGGGGGGTTGTCACTGACAGGACACAGATGAATTGAAGGAGGTGTGGAGGCACAAGTGGGACACATACCCCCGCCTCCCTGCGAGATAGAGATGGAAAAGAACACACATTGTCCACTCATACTGACCTCTCCATGCGGATTGCCTCAGTCTTTCGCAGTTTCTCTTCCCATGTTTCATTGAGCTCGGCAATGATCTTTTCTGATTCCTAAACACCAGAGGCAAAGTGTGAGGACAACACAACCAGTGTAACGTGACCTTAGCTATTAGCAGTAGTAATTTGTTTACATCCCGTAGGCACACCCTGTCTGGATTCATATACTAGTGACAAACATGCTTTCTTGGGGACATTTATATATATTCTTTCATTAAAGAAAGCTTAGTGTCTGGGATAAAAACTTTCTGCTGTCTATCACAGCAATTACACCACCAACTTAGGAGTTTCCCCTCTTATAAAGCTCTAGTCACCATCCAGTACAGACATCATGTCTGTTCTTGATCTTTTAAAAGCAGTAAGGTATTTAAATGTTAGCTTTTATAAGAATTGTAAAAGGTAACCTTCACTGTCATCTTTCTTTCTGGGTCACCAAAATAGCATTAACACATTTAGGGAACAAAGAATGTGAATATTAAGTGCCTCACTATAAAGGCGAAAAGTCAATAAGACATATCTATTTTGGTCCAGTTTCCTCCATATCTGCGTTGGTGCTTGACGTCATTGGATGACAGACAAGACTGGGCACCAAGGTTGCCATGGAAACTGCAGCTCCACACGTTTGCAATCCTGTGGGCTCCCACATCAACAGAGTGAGAGGTCTACTGCAAGCATGAGAGCTATAAAGCCCAGAGGCCACATGAGGACTGACAGGCAAAACGTGTTTTGTTTAAAGGCTATGTGCGGGCTAAAATTAAACTACAGCCATCTTGACATTAAACTGACTTTTAATTTACTGAACAAATATTACACTGTATGCGATGTTAGGCTTTGATTGTAAGTCGGTATGATTTTTTTTTTTTACTTTTAATCAGTTTACTATCCTATTCACAGAATGTTTTAGAAAGGTGAGTTTAAGATTTATTATAATAAAGAGCTCTAAATACCACAGCCCTTCTCTACTGAGGCATCTTTTCAAATATTTAATTAATGGGTCATCTTCTTTTACAGTTTAAAGTAAACAAAATTTACAATAATTTATATATTTTGCTTAACAATTGTAATATGCTGGTATTATTATTGTAATACTCAAAACAAGCACTAAGGGAAGCCTCTCCTATGCCACAGATATGTGGTAAATACCTTTTTATATACAGTCTATGGTAAATACACATTTATCACACCAGGCAGCGATAGAGAAAAAAAAACTGTGGAAGAAATTAAACAATAATTATTTATTTATGATAATCGATAATTTAAAAAGAAATTGCCTTAGGTCATTTACATAACTTTCAATAGTGTTTGGTGGCCCCCCCCAAAGTAACCAAGATATTGATATATCCAAAAATTTTATGGAAATTTTTATTTTAAAACATTTAGCTCTACTGAGGGCACAAACAAAACAAAACTAAGAGATCTGTTTTATGGGTTTTTTTAAAAAAAATCACAGCCAGAGCTGAGTAGTCAGATAGCGCTTAATACAAGACGCAAGTGTGATTTGACGCTTTTGTTACACGGGCCAACTTTACCTTGAGTCTTTCGATAGCCTCCTCTCCTCCAGGGGTGGACATGATGCGCTCCTGGATGCTGGTGACAGACTGAAGGCCCACCTGGCTGCACAGTGAGCCAGAGGATGGAGAGGCTGTCAGGGAACCAATAGGGGCTGTGGAGAAATGGCCAGGGCGTTGGTTCTCTGAGGCTATCAAGTATCTATTCTTATTGTTCTGAATGTCTTTGAGGTCTGAGCCAACAGCAGGAGAAAATGAGAGAGAGAGAGAGAAGTGCGGTAGGCCCAGGACGGGATAGGATAAACCACATAAAATGGAGGAACCACATAGAAAGGGGAGAGAAAGATGGGGGGAAAAGAGAAAGGACAAAAGGGAAGGGAAGACCAATGTAAGACACACTTTGTACGTCAAAGGGTTAAGACAAACAAATCCAGCATAATGGTCAGCTACAGAGCATAGCAGTTTTCACTCCATGTGATTCACTACTGTGCGTTTGCGCCAACTTTTCAACTCGAGTAAATGCAATTTCAGCTTGTACTCTAGAGAGTTTCCAGAGGGCTGCAGAGCATTTAACCCAGAGCACTAGTTTATACGATTCTGAGTAGTAGAATGATGCTGCTTTGTTGCTTTTGTTTTGAACTCTAATGTGAGTGAGAACACGCTGTGTGAAAACTGCTATCAGTGTATCAACTACAGGATGGGAAGGAGATGGAGGCTGCAAGAAGGTCCAGAGGGAGGATAGATGAGTCGTTGACACATGCTGCCAAAGTTCAGCCCGCAGTCAAGTAGTTTGATTCAACACGCACGCACACGCGCACACACACACACGCGCACACACGCACACACACACACACAGTAACGGAGCCACTGCAGCCTCCTCACTAAAGGTCAGGCAGCTCATGTCAATATAATGGCCTCAAGGAGATCTGAGGTAACGGCCAATAGAAGTGGAGTTCTCATTTTGGAGATAAAAAATTAGTACAGCTGACACTGGCAATGTAGGCTTTTCATATTCCATATTATAAAAAAGGAAATGCATTAAAACCCAACTACAGAGCTACTGAACTTTACTAGTTCATAGACTGATAACAGCAGCAAAAAGCTAAATTTTAACCTGCAAATTAGTTAAGCTTTTGGTCAGGGACACTTCCCAGGTTAAAAACATTTATACAGATTATTAGCACAAAAGGCCAGGAGGGAAGAGGTAGTAGGGATTTTTGAGAATACGACAGAGGGCACACTTACAAACTAACTATTCAATACAAACTACCCAAGTTAGTTAACTCTGTATACATACACCTCTGGTGTGGCTACTAGGCATTTTAAATCATGCACCTTTCTGTCTGTAGCTCTGAGCCTCAGTTTGGGAACTGAGAAGTGGCATTCTAAAGCTGTGAGCACTGTTACCTGCAGCGGATGGTTAGTGAAAGAAGACAAAATAAAAAGCAGAAAGACCACTGTCAAGAAAAGAAGCTTGAGAAAGAGAGTTGAAGACTGACATGGTAAGAAAATTATGCGTGTTTGCTGGGGGTGGGGACGACAGCTACGCTACACAAGCTATTCTAAAAGTAATGTTTCTAAATTAAATATTCCCAAAAAAGGTGGATTTGAGCTTTGAGCTTGTAAATAGCTGCCTCACCCCCGTCATTCTGAAAAATAACAAAAACACAAGTGCAAAGCATGCTAATCCTTGCGAAATCGGCACACCTACGAAAGCCTTGCATTTCTGGGTCTGCTTCTATTAAGCTTTTGCTTTTTCAGCATTAACATGCAAAGCTGGTAGCGGATTTAATATAGGGTAATGGTGGCATAAGCAATGTTAGCCATTATTAATAGGGAAAATAATGATAAGGCAATTATTCACCACCACACATATATACACACATTTGATTCCACTTCCTGGGCAATCATCCCCCATAGGATCGACTGAGGGGATGCAGGAAAAGATGAGAAGGGTCAGAGGTCAGCACCAGTAGAATGGGAGGAAAAGGTTACAGACATTTCTTAGTGAGCTGGATGACAACGATAATGAGCATGAGAAGAAATGGCGATGAATGACTTGTTAAGTGCCATGTCATTAGGCATGATCTAAGCAGGCATTAGCAAGTAGGCAGCTTATTAATCAATTCAGATATTAGTTATTAATGGTTGTATTATTATGTCTCTAATTGACTAAGCTATGAGCCATTACTCTTGTGTACACAAAATGAAGTGTGATAGTTTAATGTGGCTTTAAACTACCATTTCTGTTGTCAGTCACAATCAGCCACATGGGATCATTAAATGATTTAGAAATAATTGTACAGGATGAAAACATATATATATATATTGTGTAAATGTTGTATTCTGTAGTACATATCATACACAGTACAAAATAAATATCATACATTTCACTCTGTTAGCAGGCATAATAAACCAGTATCTTGGCAAATATGTTTCTAAAAGCTTTTTAGTTTTGTACTAGGCACGGGTACAAGACGGGTACTGAGGTGAAAACAGAGTTGGACGGCTGAAAGCAATGAGATAGTGAAGTAGAAAGAAGATGTTGCCAACTTGTGGTAGACTCGAGAGAGAAAGTAGATGCTGTGTGGCTGCAGATGTGGCCTGCTGTGACAGCATAAAACTCACTGTCCAGGATGTCTCCCAGGCCCTGGGCACGGAGCAGTTCCTTCAGTCGAGAGACTTCATCCTTCAGGTCACGCACCAGCTTATTGTTGGGATCCTCATTGATGACAGCATTGCATTTGATGTTCTTCGCTCGGTCAGCATAGCTAAAAATAATTACAGAAATAAACTTTAATCATAGTTAAGGGTCACAATTTTTGGTTTTGTTATTTTCCTGTTGTATTTTGAAAAAGTCCTTCCTTATGTGTCTTGTGAACTTTACCTCCTGCCCGAATTAGCTTCACCTGTGTCTTGCTATCCTCCCCTCCCTCACTCATGTATTCAAGTTAGTGTGTATCTGTATCTTCATCAAGCGTCCCAGCCCGTCTCCAGCAATATCTTGTTTTTTTTGTTTCTTGCCAGCTCCCTTTTGGATTTATTTGCTTGTTTGAACTGGTTTGACCCCTGCCTGCGTTCATTCTCTGTAAGCCTGTACACCCTTTAATTTTATTATTAAGTATTCCATAGAACTGAACCTGATCTGCCTCTGTGTTCTGCGTCTTGGTCCACTCCATTGATTTCCTGATCCTTACTTAACTCACTGACAGTTAAATGTCAAATGCAAACAATAAACTGGAAATATTTTATAAGTTATTATCTTTGTCCCGGATGGAAACCTTACCGGAGTGTGCTAAGAGTTTCATCGTAGTTGATATCTGCAGGACTGAGGGCAGCTACCATGGCTGTTCTCGAGTTTCCACCTGATAAAAAAAAGATCAGTAAAGAGGTCAATTATGTGGCAATGTTTACAGACATAAATGCCACCATATTCCACCGGTAATGGATGTTTGTCAGGGGGTGTTAATGTTCATACCGAGGTTCTCCCTCAGCAGCCATGTCAGAACAGAGTCTCTGTACGGGATGAAGTCAGTCTTCTTCTTCTTCTTGCTCTGCAGTAAACAAACATGATCTTTCTGTTTTAACACTGAAAATCAGGAATGGCAGTTAAGATTGAACACTGTTCCGATGTACCATGACAAACACCTTATATTTAATGGACAGGAGGATCAGGTAAAATGAGTAGAGGCTTGACTTGATTAGCTTTTTTGTGGAAATTACTATGCATGGTGCCTAAAACCCCAGCACTTAGGTGATAAAAATGGTGCTGGCAGAATGAACAATGTGCAGCAACTTCAACATAGCACATGGCAAAAGGCTATCACATCGCCTCATGGGTTGGAATCAATGGTTAGGGGTTGAGCTGTCAAAGGGTTTTACCTTGCTGGTACAGTTATCCTGTGTAAGCAGGCATTACAAGGACAAGAGAAGAGAAAACAGAAGGGAAGACATTATCGCATGCCAGACTACAAACATTAATTCCTTGAGAAGACAGGGTCAAGTTGTAGAAGGTAGGAGAAAAAGCTAAGAGGGAGAGAAAAGAAATCGAAACAGACGTAACACTCACCACTTCAGCCAGGGCAGAGATAACCTTTCCTAACGTGGTGAGAGATTTGTTGATGTTTGCTCCTTCCTGCAATGAAGAGAAGAATATATTATTTTAGGAGCCATCAAGCTAACACTAGTCAACCGTTAATGCTGGGTGTCTGAATTAGTCTTACCTTTAGCCTGGTACCTTTAGCTCCAGTGGAATCTGCTCGTTCACTTCCTGCCAAGTCTACCAGACTAATTTTACTGACCTGAAGAGGGAGTAAATGCATTTCAGATGCATAAAGCTTATGAATAATTTACATTTGATTGACAACAAACTAAGAGAAGATGGGAATATTACTGCAACAATGACAGCACTGACTGCTGTATGCATAGTTCATGATGAAAAACACTCAAACAGCTAAGAAACTAAACAGTCAAAAACCTGTGTAACCCATTTTAAACATTTAGAAATTACTGTCAAGTAAGATGCAGCTAGGCAGTAAAATCTGATAGAGTGGCTAAATACAATGGCCATTGTGTTTACAACAACACAGTGGTCTTTTGTCTATCCGCAGTCAGGGGAAGTCAAATCTAAAATGGCTCTTTTTTCCTTCTCCGATCACCACAGACTAAGAGGACCGTAGGAGATATCCAAAAATCAAAACTCAATGAGTTGTAAGTAGACAAGTATGAAGAAACACACTCCCAACAGCTTGAGATTAATAAAGAGTAATAAACATGGCTATGTGTGAACATTTCATGATCTAATTTAAAAATCAGAAGGTGGCTGTCCCTCTAGACTCCTGACCTTTTCTGTGGAGAGGTCTGTTTCACTGTCATATTTCTTCTGCGTGAAGACAATGGTGAAAACAGCATGGGACCTGCTGCTGGTCTCATTCATGTTGGTGGCAGCCACAGTTCTGTAACACATACAGGCATAGTTAGGAAATACAAAGCGATAACGAGTCACTTTTTCTTTTTTTCTTCTGAGAACTTTAATCATTTGTCCTTTTAAATTATTCTGCATCATTAAAGCTAAATCCATGGTCTTGGCTATTACTGGAGCTATCATCACTGAGTTTAACGCCTATTAGAGTGAATTGAGTCTAAGGGATTATTTTGTGCGGTGGAGGTGGATAATACTGTGAGGACACCAAATACAAATACTCAAGGCATACTCAGAGGGACAGTCACACAGGAGATACAGGATTTTCACACCATGTTCTAGAAATAAGCCTTCTGAGTCAGCACCAGAAGATTAAGGCAGGGTTCACTCCTCCCCACAGGAGCTCTCATAATACACACATACACACAGTAAAACCAACACACATGCACACATATAAATCACATGCACTCATTCTAATGAGAAACTACCTGCAGTTTAAGAAAGGTTATGTATGTGAAGAATCTCGTTCTTCCAGGTCAAGCTGGACTTGTTTTATTAAAACTTCCCCATAAGGAAAGTTCCAGTGTCAAGAATATATCTAGCTGTTCCTTGATCAACACTGATGATCGAGCTAAAAAAATCTATGTGATAAGAACATTTCCTGATTCCTAATTATTACTATTCTTGCCTAAATGGTCTCATGCTTATGAGGATGTAGGTTAATCACATCATCACCGCTAATCACCACCACTATTACTTTCCCTTCCCCCATCCCACAATCTCAGCATGATTCCAGTGCTTGGCTCACCTGGCCTTGTTGCCTGCGTCCATTAGGTCAGCGATGTCTGTGTAGGAGGTAACAGCTAGCTTGGACAGGTCTTCCACGTAGGGGCCCAGTAGCGGGTGTTCTCGCACTCGAAGGTTCCCTTTGTTCTTAGGATTCAGCAAGTCTCGCACTCGTTCACAGTAGATCTCCATGTAACTGACCTAGAAACAATTGCAAAAGTAACCGTTATATCAGTTGAGATGAATGTAAACTATTACAATGTAGGTCTAAACAATTTAGATATATTACAGAAATTTTTTTTTCATTTTTTTAAATTATTGAGCCACGTCAGAGGCAGGGGCTGAGAATAGGGATTACAGATACCAAAGCACTCCGAGACTCACCTCTACTGAGTAGGAGAGCTCCTCTTTGTTGTTGTCCTCATTGATTTTCTCAAATAGATCTTCACAGAGCTGAGAGGCAGAAAAAGAAGATGCTTAGTGCAAATTAACAGCATGTGGAATGTGAAAGGGACAATAAATAGGAGGGAGATATGTGGACCAACAGAAAAACAAAATTCTGACAATTTATTTATTTGCATATATTGTATAGCAAATTATTCAGCAATAAAACATCAGACTGTAAGTTCCAGAGCGCATCAGATGACAATAAACACCTTTTGACTATTATTAAGTAAAGTCTAGTTTTTGTGCAGAATCTTGGCTGCAATGAAGGAAGCCTCAAGGAAGCAGGATCGATAGCCCCTTTTCCACTGCACGGTACCAGCTCGACTAGCCTTTTTTTTGTTTTCTGATTGACGTCACTATTCACTGCGTCATCATTGCGTGCGCCTGACAGAGGCCAGTGACAGAAGGTTTTATATATTTTACTATTTTCACGTGTTATTTCATCACTAAATCCACTTCTGAGAAGTTTTGAGGTGAGAAATCAATATTGACAGTTTTACGAGAAGTGATGACAGAACAAAAATGTGCTTGAAAGTTTTTGAAGTTGAGGAGCTCCGCAAGTTGCGGCAGGGGAAGCCTCCGGGAACCCGCGGAAGGAGCTCACGAGGCCGGCCATGTGAGTCGCTGCTGTGTGTGTCACACTGAACATTATGTCGCGGCAGTTGTGTGTGGCGTTGCTATGATGACCAGCTACATTGAGGGGTACTATCTCTGGGTACTATCTGCAATGGAAAACGGAGCACGGCCAAAAGCAGTCAAGGCGAGTTGAGCTGGTACTGGTAATGGAAAAACGGCATATGATCTTGCAGAATCAGTAGGTATAGCGACAATATTTCTAGTAGAAATTAATGTTTGGTGTCATGAGCATGGAGGTTAAAACCAAAGACCAATCTATAGGATAATATGATCAAAAGGAAAACATGGTGGATAAAGGGAGCGATCAATTAACTATCCTCGGGGGTAGGGTGGGACACCTTTTGAACCAAAGGTCAAACTCTTACTAATGCAATTATATCTATCAGACAAATAAGGTCTAAATACGTGGGTCATTAAAAAATACATAAAATCAATAGTCATTTGTACAGCAAGGCTTTTAGTCATATTTCAGGGAAATGCATACAATTACTGCAAAGCCTTGGTGGTCTATGGCGTGCAATACATTAACACTGTTTCCTGGGTTTTAATCTGGCCCATGTCTCCAGCTCTGGCCCAGTTTTACTAAACCAGGCAGTGGCTACAAGGGTTAGCAACGGTGGACACAAGACAGCTAGCTGTGAAATGCTAACACAAATGAGGAAATGGATATTAAGGAGGCAAACATATGTCTTAACCTCTGCTACGCAATTCGAAACTTCTACAGATGTCTACAGAAACATCTAATGTAGAACAAACCATGGGAATAATTCCTTCCTGCCCCTCCTCCTGCTTGCCCATCATGGTATAGGATTTGCCAGCTCCTGTCTGGCCATAAGCAAAGATGCAGACGTTGTAGCCCTCAAAAGCATGCGCCAGCATTTCCTTGCCAATATCATTGTACACAAGGTTCTGTGATGCAAAGCAGGGGTCTTCCGGCTGTGGGAAAGATAGAGAAATTACTTAAAATGTATTAACTCATGGTATTTTAAATTTACAATATATGTATAACTAGCTTCAGATATTTTCTATTTTCCTTCATATAGGTCATTACACTGGATAATGGAATAGAGAAAATGTTCAAACTCACCGTAGTGTGTGACCAGTAGGAGTAATCAAAACTGAAGGTCTTTGCTGGTTCTTTTGGGGCTTTGGGGTTTGCAATAACTGTGGGAGAAGAACAAAATTAGTAATGTGGCTGATAATATCTGGTTGGAATATGATTATGAGACAATAACTGCTCCCATGTTCATATAGTTTCATTTTAAGGTCTGCCTGAAGTTATTTAATTCATGCTACGTCACATATTAAGACTTTGATTCAATCCCTTCTAGCACAATTTAGTATTTAGCAAAAGTCGCTTCTGTGTAATCAAGCTGAATTATGACACGGAATATTTAACCAACTACTCATTGAAACACAAAATTCTTCCCTGGCCTTGTGGTTTCTTTACAAACCTGTTGTCTATCTGCAACTGAATGTGTCTTTTTGAAGTTCTAAGTTAAAAGCATCATATAAAATGTTTCAGTTTAAAGGTTTTTGTTTTCTTTTGGCACATTCACTTTAAAACTTAAACATCAGCACCATCAACCAAACTCCTATCTCTCATTTAAAGAGAGTATTCATGTATTTCTTCTGGCAAAATGTTACATTTCAGTTTCACATAATAAATGACTCCAATTAGAGCCCGATTAATAAACGAATTATGTTTATCCTGGTTGGCAAATAGTGGGTCCTGTTCCTCAATCAGAGCACTAACTGTGATATACTTGGAACTGAAAGTCACATGAGCCTGTGACTGATGGCCATTGTCTTTTTTGAGAACTGCAACTGATCGTGTCAAGTTTTTCCAAACAAGCCATCTTTAAATCAGTATCTTGTTCATCGTATGCACTGATAAGTGTAAAAGACAAACATTACAAAGTTTAAAAAACTCCCACTATACCACCCTCACCTGTTGTATCTGCAAAAGGCATGATGACACAAAATTTACACACTACCCAGCCATTCCCTATGGCCACACAAACATTTCTTAATGAACAAGAATTTGCAGCCATGCCTGGTATGTCATCCCTCTCAACCATGCTTGCTGGTACCCGTGGGACTAGTGTTCAAGCTTTCCACACTGGGGGGAGGGGGGGGAGCGAGAGAGACAGAGAAGACTAAGAATTTACTGTAGGATATTTGTATATATCCGTACACCAGTTTTTCCTCAAATTCCCCCTTTTAGACAAACTTTTATTGACTAGCTGCCTTGTGTCAGGGCCAATGCACAGATTTCGCTCAGGCTGGACACAAATGCATACCTCCACCATCAGATCTGAGGGGAATGTGAAGAGGAGGGAGCAACAAAGAGGCTAGTGGGAAAAAAGGATTTGAGAGACGAAAAGTAACAGCCTAGCAACAATCCAAACAGACCAACAATAGAAACCAAAGACAGGATGAGAGGAAAAACTGTGAATCTGCACCTTAGTAAGAACATAATCTGTATTTTGAGCATTTTCACTCTTTCTGAGCAAATCTCCAGCGTGCACCACAAAGCAGTAATTAGCGTTGTTTCATGCAAATTCTGTGCTTTTGCTAATGGGCAAATTAAAGCCAGGGCTGGCTCCTCAACATGAGGGTGCTTAGATCTACTACAAATTGTCAACATGTCTCTCCTCTCAGGTTTTTTCCCCACAGGCCCTGAAAACTGCAGTCATTAAGCCACTCTTAAAAAAGAGCAATCTAGACAGGTCACTAATGAGCAATTATAGGTCCATATCAAATCTCCCATTTTTAAGTAAAATCATTGAAAAGGCTGTTTTTCAACAGCTCAGTGCTTTCTTGGCACTAAATAACTGTTTTGATGTCGTCCAGTCAGGTTTTCGACCACACCACAGCACTGAGACAGCTCTTGTTAAGGTCTTCAATGACATCCATTTAAACACTGACAGTGGCAGAAAGTCTTAGTATTATTGGATCTCAGTGCTGCATTCGACACGGTCGACCTCAACATATTACTAGACAGACTTGAAAACTGGGTTGGACTTTCTGGCACAGTAATAAAATGGTTTGAATCCTACTTAAAGGACAGGGACTACTTTGTGTCTATAGGTAATCACACGTCTGAGTTGACAAAAATGGAGTTCCCAAGGCTCCATTTTGGGACTTCCTTTGTTTAACATTTACATGCTTCCACTGGCTCAGATTATGAAAAACAACAAAATATGTTACCATAATTATGCAGATGACACACAGATTTACATAACCATTTCAACAGGGGACTATGATCCCATACGGGTGCTGAGTAACTGTATTGAGCAGGTCAATGGCAGGATGTGCCAAAGTTTTCTTCAACTGAACAAAGATAAAACTGAAGTTTTTGCAGCCAGGGAGGAACAATTGAAAGTCAGTGCTCGACTTCAATCTGTAATGTTAAGAACCACAAATCTTGGTGTAGTCATGGAGCTGATTCAGAACGCTGCTGCTCAAGTCCTCACTAAGACCAAAAAGGTGGATCCAAAATACATTTCTGATCTTCTACTTTGATACGAACCATCCAGACCTCTCAGGTCGTCTGGGGCAGGTTTGCTTTCTGTCCCCAGAGTCAAATCTAAACAAGGAGAAGCAGCGTTCAGTTATTATGCTCCGTATATCTGGAACAAACTCCCAGATAACTGCAGGTCTGCTGAAACTGTCTTTTTTTTTAACCATTGCTTTTAATTAAATATTTAAGATTTTTCTTTTTACCACTGCTTTAACTAGTAGATTGATAACTTACACTGCACTGTAACATTTACTGTATTGTTTTCTTTTTCTTTGTTTTTAGCTTTTTACCATTGCTTTTAATTAAATATTTACACGGTGATAAATGAGTAGGCAATTGAGTGGAAAGATAATGAGAGTGAGATTGAACAGAGTGAAGGAATTGGTCTTAAATCTCGCGCCTGAGGGATTTGCAGGAACCTTTGTCCACCTGTAAACACGCAGGTGGGTCCAGAGTATAACTGGATCAAAGCGGCCTACAGACAGATATGTCATTGTTTCTCTGTAGTGTCCGAGGGTTTTTGGAGTTTCAGTGGACCCAAAGATTGCTCTGGACCCGAGTAAAGACTAGCTAGAGAGAGTAGATTAAGTGTACTTCTCTGTTTATTCTCTTTTCAAAATAATTGTAACTCAATAATTTGCTCAACCCCTCAGCCTCTTTTTTTTTTTCCATTTAACTCTTTTAACCCTGATTGTACACTGCACTGTAACTTTTATTATTTTTTTAATGTGTATTTTTTCAATTTCCCTATGTTGCTTTTAAACTTTTTTATATTTCCCCGTTGCTTATGTTTTATGTAAAGCACTTTAAATTGCCTTGTTGTTGAAATGTGCTATACAAATAAACTTGCCTTGCCTTAAGGCTTTTGCATCAAGATGTCCCAGACATCCTTGGGTGCCTTGTGCATTCAGAGGTTTTCAGCACACTTATCAATAATGCAGGAGATGTGGAGAGACAGGGATCGAATATCGCCCTCCACAGGTCCCATGCTGACAAAAAAGCACAGCGTGTCCTCACAGTGAAGAACACTAACTGCTTCATGACAAATATGTCATCATTATAGCAGCTGCCATTGCACTGAAACTCAGATAACTACAACCTAGCACAGGTAGCAACAATGCATTTGTTTGTACACCCCACACTCAAACAGGTTAAGGTGCACAGGCGGAGCAGCAGCTTCCATTTTGGGCACTGGAAGAGGATATAGCAAGACGTGGCTATATAAAGCCAAATTTCACCTTTGACCTGCCTCCAAAGGGAAATTGGAGCCAGGGCCTGAAGAAACTAAGGGGGATTAAAGTTACCCGTTACCCCCTATTCCCCTTTCCTGGAACAATCTACAGTGGCTATTAATGAAGCCTAATTCAGAGTCATTCAGAGCCAGTCACATTCAGTGTCCACGAGGCAACTTAGAAGTAAAAACAGAAAGATGATGAGACAGTGCCACAGTGGGTTGCCCATGACAGGCCAGCGAGACTGACGCTGACAAACTGGCCTCACTGAGAATCACAGCTGTGTTCTAGCAAGACAAGAAATGATGTGAGCTATTAAATATCTGAGCCTGTCAACTTCCCCGGGTTGTCTCATCAGACACAAGGGTGGATGACGACGTATAAAAATATATAGCAGCAGCAGCTAGTGGGAGACTGCTCAGCTCCTAAAAGGCAACTCATGCTCACGATGTGGCATGAACATCTCATCTGATTGCCCACTCCATTGATCTCAGGACTGATGGCTGCGTCACCCATGTGTTCCTGACAGTGAGTCATAAGAGTGGGTCTCTCATGCAAGAGTCTATAAAAGTGTGTCGAAGGAAACGATGCAGTAAGGAACAGGGATGGCAAAGGTTACGTGTGTACAGTCTAAATTCTTATTACCTGTACCAATTATTGTGTCATCACACACATCGGTCAAATGTTGAATGTGTGCGAGGCAGAATGAGGAGAATTTTATCCCTGCCAACTGACATTAAGAGAAGACAAGTGTGCCCCCATATCTTCTAACTCACCTATTTTATATTAACTGAGTATCAGTCACTCTGTCCCCTTTTTACACTTGCACCTGTATATCATGCTTACAAACAGAATCTATGTGAGCACTGATGCACGACAGTAATATTCACAAGGTGAAGAAGGTAAGATGTCAATGAGAAATTCCTATGGTGGGACTGTTTACTATAAATGGAAAGAAGAGTCATTATCCTGGACTTAAAATGGCAGACACATTCTGCTGTCTAATAAACGTCATCATTCTCAACCATGGCAACAGGTATTGGCGAGATTTTGGTTGCCATAACAACCTCAACTTGGCACAGAAGGGGAGGATGCGGCACATTGGGTTCTGTTTTTTCTTGCCTCAAGCATTTCCTATTATAGCTCTGTAGACATTATGCTGAATTACTTAAAAATACAGGTTTTTGGTCAATTACTCATTTATCAAACCTTGATTTAAGGATTCTAATCCTTTAAAATCCTGAAACATGCAAAAGGGATAGTGAGAAAAGCTTAAGGATTTATCACCAAGACATTAAAAGGTTCAGTGTGTAATATTTAGGAGGATCTATTAAAAGAAATGTAATATAATATGTTTTCCATGGTGTATAAAGACCTTACATAATGAACCCTTGTGTTTTTATTAC